TTGACTCTGCCATTTTGTGGTTATCAAGATGTTGCTGGCCTCATAGAATGAGTCAGGGAAGAGTACCTCCTTCTCAGTTTTTGGGACTGGTTTCAATAGGAATGGCACCAGCTCTTCCTTATACATTTGATAAAATTCAGTGTGAATCTGTCTGGTCTTGGTACTTTCTGATTTTTAGGCTTTTTATTACTGATTTGATTTTAGAACTCATTATTGGTTTGTTCAGGGATTGAGTTTATTCCTGATTCAATCTTGGTTGGTTGTATGTTTACAGGAATTTATCCACTTATTCTAGGTTTTCTAGTTTGTGTGCATAGAGGTACTCAGGTTTTGTTTTTTTACTTTTGGGTCAGTGGTAATGTCCCTGTAGTCATTTCTGATTTTGTTTATTTGGATATTCTCTCTTTTTTCTTTACTAATCTAGGTAGTTGTTTTTTTTATTATTATTATACTTTAAGTTCTAGGATACATGTGCACAACGTGCAGGTTTGTTACATATGTATACATGTGACATCTTGGTATGCTGCACCCATTAACTCGTCATTTACATTACGTATATCTCCTAATGCTATCCCTTCCCCCTCCCCCCTCCCTCCTCACCACAATAGGCCCCAGTGTGTGATGTTCCCCTTCATGTGTCCAAGTGATCTCATTGGTCAGTTCCCACCTATGAGTGAGAACATGCGGTGTTTGGTTTTCTGTTCTTGCGATAGTTTGCTGAGAATGATGGTTTCCAGCTGCATCCATGTCCCTACAAAGGACATGAACTCATCCTTTTTTATGGCTGCATAGTATTCCATTCTGTATATTTATTCTTTCAAAGAACCAACTCCTGCCTTCATTGATATTTTGAATGGTGTTTTTTGTTTTTGTTTTTTTTTCATCTGAATTTCCTTCAGTTCAGCTGTGATTATGGTATTATCTTCTGCTGATTTGGAGGCTTATTTGCTCTTATTTTTCCTCTATAATGTTAGTTTGTTAATTTGAGATCTTGCTAATGTTTTGATGTCATCATTTAGTGCTATAAACTTCCCTTTTAACACTGCTTTAGCTGTGTCCCAGGGATTCTGGTATGTTGTCCCTTTTTCTTATTAATTTCAAAGAATGTCTTGATTTCTGCCTTAATTTCCTTGTTGACCCCAAAGTCATCCAGGCACAGGTTGTTGAATTTCATGTAACTGTATGGTTTTGAGCAATTTTCTTAGCATTGATGTCTGTTTGGGGTGGGGAAGTGGGGCTGTGGTCTGAACATGTGGTTGGTATGATTTTTTTTCTTTCTTTCTTTCTGGAATTTGCTGAGGATTGTTTTTTGGCTGATTGTGTGGTCAGTTTTAAAGTATGTGCCATGTGCAGCTGTGAATTTATATCCTCTTGTTTTTCAGAGGAGAGTTCTGTAGATGTCTATTAGGTCAATTTGGTCAGGTGTTGAATTCAGCTCCTGAATACCTTTGTTAGTTTTCTGCCTCAGTGATTTTTCTTATACTGTGAGTGGGGGGTTAAAGTCTCCTGCTATTATTGTGTGGTCATCTAAGTATCTTTATAGGTTTTTAAGAACTTGTCTTATGAATCTGGGTGCTCCTGTGTTGGGTGCATATATATTTAGAATAGTTAGGTCTTCTTGTTGAATTGAACCCTTTACCACTGTATCATTTCCTGATTTCTCCTTTTTGACTTTTGTTGCTTTAAAATCTGTTCTGTCTGTAATTAGTATAGCAATCCCTGCTTTTTTTCTATTTTCCATTTGTATGAAAGATTTTTCTTCATCCCTTTTCTTTGAGTCTGAGTGTCATTATATGTGAAATTGGTCTCTTGAGGACAGCATACCATTGGATCTTGTTTCTTTATCCAAGTTTCCAATTTGTACCTTGTAATTGAGGCATTTAAACCTTTATGTTCAAGGTGAGTATTGATATGTGCAGATTTCATTCTGTCATCATGTTATAAGCTACTCATTATGCAGATTTGTTTGTGTGGTTGCTTTATTGTATCAGTCATCTGTGTGCTTAAGTATGTATTTGTGGTGGCTGGTAATAGTTTGTTGTTGTTGTAGTTGTTGTTGTTGTTTTTCCACTTTTAGCCCTATCTTCAGGACCTCTTATAAGGCAGGTGTGGTGGTAATAAATTCCTTTAGCATTAGCTTTTCTGAAAAGAATCTTATTTTTCCTTTGCTTATGAAGCTTAGTTTGACTGGCTATGAAATTCTTACTTTGAATTTCTTTACTTTAAGTATGCTGAATACAAGCCCCTAATGTCTTTTGGCTTTTAGGGTTTCTGCGGAAAGGTCTATTATCAGCCTAATGGAATTCCCTTTGTAGGTGACCTGCTCCATTTTCTCTAGCTTCCTTTAACATTTTTTCTTTCATTTCAACCTTGGAAAATCTGATGACTTTGTGTCTTGGGTATGGTCATCATGTATATTATCTTGCACGGATTCTCTGCATTTCCTGAATTTAGATGTTAGTCTTCTTAGTGAGGTTGGGAAATGTTCACGAACAATATCCTGAAATAGGTTTTCCAAGTTGTTTGCTTTCAGCGGTGCCAATCAGATGTAGTCTTGGTCGCTTTATGTAATCCTATATTTCTTGGAGGTTTTATTCATTCTTCTTTAATCTTTTTTAAATTTTTTTTCTGACTGAGTTATTTCAGAGAACCAGTCTTTGAGCTCTGAGAGTATTTCTGCATTTTTGCCCTAAAATGCCACAATTCACTCAGTAACATAAAAATCATTCTTACTTGAAAAGGGATCTTTAATGATTTTTTTTTTTTTTTTAGTCAGATTCACACTCTGTTGCCCAGGCTGGAGTGCAATGGGGCAGTCATGGCTCACTGCAGACTCAAACTCCTGAGCTCAAGCGATAATCCTACCTCAGCCTCCCAAATAGATAGGATTACTGGTGCATGCCACCATGCCCAACTAATATTTTTAATTTTTTTTTCAAAGACAGGGTCTCGCTATGTTGCCCACACTGGTCTCAGACTCCTGGCCTCAACAGATCCTCTTGCCTCAGCCTCCCAAAACTCTGGTTGATTTAAAAAGTATATATATCCAAAATGAGTCAAAAGAGAATGACACTATTGGTCAAATTGGGAATTATGGCCTTTGGAATGAATGGGGATGAAACCAGAATATTTGGATTGCTAAACAGCTATTTAGCAGTAGTTGTCTTTTGACTTCTGTTTCGTCTTCTTCTTCTCCCAAAACTCCTTCTTCCCATCTTCTTTCTCACTGATACTTATACTATCTTTGTTATTATATTGTTTTGACTTTTTATCTTGGTAAAAGACATATTTTTAAATCTTTATAAAAAGATAATTGAGAATTTGACCTATATCTCATATATATGTATTTTATTTTAAACATGTAGTACTTTACAGAATTCATTATTGCTGATTAATGAAACTGCCTTATGACATTTTCAGATTTCTTTCCAATACCCCTTGGTTGTATATTAAATGGCACCCTACAAAATATCTGATTGCTTATTCTACTTAAAACCCCTCCTCCAACCCCTGCCTAGCTAGCTAGCTCTTTGTACATCATGTCCATTTTATCTGTTACTCTTTTCATTAATTTCTTTGCATAATTTATTTTTTTTCAACAGAATCATAGACCCTTCCACTATACTTTGCATTCTTTTGAATGAGAATTGAGTTAATTAAAGCACTTAATACCTGACACATTATAAGCATCATATAATTTTTAGTTATTGTTGCCATTTAATTATGTTTAAAAATTCTACACTCAAAAGTGTAAAATTAAAAATGTATATTCAGTATTATATATAATGTAATGTAATTTTCATGTTTTTAAGAAACTGTACACATATATTTTTCTTTAAAATTAAACTCCAATGTAACATTCTTTATATACAAGGATTATAGTTTTAAATGTTACTAAAATTATGTATTTATTTGTCATATATTATAATGCCAGGAAAACATTGAGCAGGTATCTTGTTTTACCTTTGGCCCCTCCAAAATGTATTTAGTCTTTTCTATGTTTTACTGGAAAATGCTATAAATTATCTATCATAAAAATATCACATGGATCACTGACTTAGCCAAATAATTTTTTCCTATATCTACCTACTTGCCTATCTTTGTAATTTTGATATTCTTATTAAAACAGTTATGTGTTAGTTTCTATAAATTGGACATACTCTAACAAAACATTATGTTGGGAAGAACTCTGTCTTTTAAGTGTTCTTTTTGGAAATTAGTTATTGGCACTCAAAACAATAATACTTATCAACCATAATACTTTTTTAACTGTTTCTTTTTGAGACAAAGCCTTGCTCTGTTTCTCAGGCTGGAGTGCAGTGGCGTGATCATGGCTTACTTCAGCCTTGACCTTCTGGGCTCAAACAATCTTCCTACCTCAGCCTCTTGAGTAGCTGGGACAACAGATATGCATCCCCACACCGAGCTAATTGCTTTTTAAATTTTTTATAGAGTCAGAGTCTCTCTATATTGCCCAGGCTGGTCTTGAACTCCTGGGCTCAAAGTAATCTTCCAGCCTCAGCCTTCCAAATTGCTTGGGATTACAGGCATGAGCCCCCATGACTAGCCTCTTTTTAATTGTTTAAGGATTTAAAAAAAAAAAAAAGTACGTTCCCTTGGGGGTAAGAATTAAATAGAAAATATTTCCCCAAATTCTGTATTTCAGAAATTGCAACTTAATTTTGAAGTCACATGTAGGCAGTTACAATACTTACAAAACAAAAACGTTTGCCTATCTATGCGAATCTACATGGTTTAACTGGTTATTTTCACTATTTTTTTTCTCCTTCTTCCCTCTTCATTATTTTTAACTTAAGTTCAAGTATCTTGAGGAACTTGTTTTTAATCTTTAATATATCCAATATAACATTGTCCTTTTTGAGATTTGGGACTCAGAATTGCCCCATTTAAATTTTTTTTTGAAAATTCCCCCATCTATAAGAGCATTAATGATGCGATAATAATATTCCTTGTCTCTTGGCAACAGTAACCCTGGTATTGCAGCAAGTGAGGTATAGAGAATGTGGGGAGATCAGGTGATGCAGAACTCTGGAAAAGGACGTTAGTCTTCAAAGTAGGACTGTTTGTTAAATTCGGCAAAGTCTGCTATCAGAAGACACGGTGAGAAATCTTGTAGAAAGGGAGTTTTTCTTTTAGTTTTAACTCTGAGCACACATCAAAATTGATGTTCATATTTTGTCCAGAAACTTACTTGATTCAACTAAAATATCTTTGAAAATTATCTCTTTCATTAATAACTGTGCCTAAAATCATGGCTGTGGTAAAATTGAACTCAGTTAATATGTTTAAAAGGGCATCAATAATTGTTTTAATATTTTATTTTCTGAACTAGCTCAAGAGTAAGAGATAAAAGACATAATATAACTGATATATTGATATAGTATTAAGAATTACTATGTTTTTTTGGAACTCCAGAGTAAGAGAGTTACAAAACTCCCTACATCCTACATTGATTGACACATTGACATCTCAATAAATAGCCTGATGGTGGATTATTTTCAAAATTTAATTTGTTTCTGAAGTGAAGTATTTAAAGTAAAAGACTACACCTAATTCTTTTTTAGATATCAAATGTTTTTAATTACTACAGTAATTAGTTCCAGTTATTATCAGGTAACCAAGCATGTTTACATATCTGTGTATTTTTTTATATAGTCCTGAACTTCCTTTTCAGATTATTTTTTTTCCTTTAAAGCACTCATGACTTATCTCATTTGTATAGTTTTTGTTTGTTTGTTTGTTTGTTTGTTTAGATGGAGTCTTGCTCTGTCGCCAGGCTGGAGTGCAGTGGCATGATCTTGGCTCATTGCAATCTCTGCCTCCCAGGTTCAAGCGATTCTCCTGCCTCGGCCTCCCGAGTAACTGGGACTATAGGCATGCACCACCATGCCTGGCTAATATTTTTGTATTTTAGTAGAGACGGGGTTTCACCATGTTGGTCAGGATGGCCTTTATCTCCTGACCTCATTACAGGCATGAGCCACTGCACCTGACCTCACTTGTATAGCTTTTAAGCACTTTAAGAGTGAAGTTACCTTATTTTCCTCTAGTAGAACAATTTAATGCAAGTAAAGTTTAGAAAAATAATCAAATTAATCATAAACTTAGTGGATTTTATTAAGCCAATTGTATTGTAAAATATCAAAGACTGCATTTTGAAATTGTTTCTTTAAAGAATGTCATTATCATTCACGCTTTTTCTCCTATGAAAATTAACTGCAGATGCGAGAGGAAACATGAGGACTTAAATTTTATCTGTAGCCAAACCAAGAGCAGAAGGTGTTGAAATGAGGGAGGGGACTTCCCCATGATAAGGAGAATTAACAAAAAAACTGAGTAGAAAAAAATGCCACTTCTTTCAGCAAAACTGCCTTCTGAGCATGAACTTAAATTTGTATTTGTGTTGGAAATACTTGAAGAAATGTGAGGAGAAGGAGGAGTTATTTGTGTGTTGGGGAATGGGAGAAAAAGTGGAGGTTACAGAGTGGGAAGTTGGAAATTCATTATTTATAAGAAAAAAGGGAAAGGCATTATTTATAAGAAAAAAATGGAAAATAGTTTTTGGTGTAGGAAAGGAGAAAGGTCGTATTATCCCACAGGAGAAAGTTCAGCAATGAAGGAGAATGGAAGGTAATAAGAGATCACCCCACCTGGGGTAGGTAGAATCCATATGATTTACTTCTTTCTTTATTTCTCTCCCTTTAAAAAATGCATTTCATGGCTGGACGCGGTGGCTCATGCCTGTAATCCCAGCACTTTGGGGGGCCAAGGTGGGTGGATCACGAGGTCAGGAGTTCAAGACCATCCTGGTCAACATGGTGAAACCCCGTCTCTACCAAGAATACAAAAATTAGCTAGGCATGGCAGTGCATGCCTGTAATCTCAGCTACTCAGGAGACTGAGGCAGGAGAATCGCTTGAACCTGGTAGGCAGACATTGCAGTGAGCTGAGATCGCGCCACTGCACTCCAGCCTGGTGACAGAGCTAGACTCCATCTCAAAAAAAAAAAAAAAAAAATGCATTTCATTTTATCTTTCTTTAATGGCCCCTTCTTTTGCTTGCTTACTAGCAGGCTCCCTCCTGAGCCTCATGCTAGCACCACACCCCTGTAGTTTCTCCTTGATGGGATGGGTTTGAGGAGAGCAGCAGTTGGTGAGGTAAGTTTTAATGTCTGAGAGGGTGTGGTGAGTAGACAGAGAGCTGTGAACAGAATTTTTTTTTTTTAAAAAAAAGCTTTTTCTAGAAACATTGCAGTGAGTTGCTACTTTCCTCCTTCCTCAGACAGTGTTCAAGAGGGATGTGAAAGTTGTATATGGTGTTGGCTATAATTCTGGAGTCCCCTTCAGTGTTGACAGGGTTATCCACAGAGGGGTTAGTGATTTGGAATGATATGGAAAAAGCTTATGAGGTTACTGGGTTTACTGTGAGTGTCATGGTGAGTTGCACAGCATCCAGTGCAGAGAGAATGGCATTTTGGTCTCACTAGGTGGCTGTAGCTCCCAGCTTGCTTGAAAGCCCATTGTACTCTAGAGTATTATCAGCCAGTCCCTTCAAAAGGGGCTGGAGATTTCTCTGGCCAGCTTGCTTCTCTGAAATTGGTGGCAGTTTGGAGAGGCAGCAACTCTGCGTCATGTACATCAGAAGCAAGAGAAGCTCACTTGGTGGCTGTTGAATTCACATAGCTATAAATCTCTACCAGCTACAGCCACTGGAAGGGGTAGAGGAACAGTAGCAAGGGGAGGTAGTGCTACAGTTGTAGTTTTCCCAATGCAGCAAAATATGTAACAGTATTTTGTTGTTTGAGATAGTATCCAGAGTTTTTTTGTTTTATATTTAAGAGAATTAAGGAGCGTGGACACAAGGGTGAGTTTCAAGTGAAAGTTTAATAAAAAAGAGAAGAAAGCTTTCTGCAGCAGAGTGGGGCCCAAATGGGTTCCCCACTGTGAGGCTGGGGTTCGGGGTTTTTATGGACTGGTAAGGGAAGGAATGTGCATAGTTTGCAGGCTGTTTTGGAGAAAGTGTGATTTAGCTTGGTCTGGGACCAATCAGCAGCTGAAGTGATGATTTATAGGGGCTACCTAGCTTGGTCCAGGACCTAGTAGAAGCTGAAGTGAAAGCTTGGCCAAAGATCTTGGCCCTGGGATGAATTAGAAGCTGAAGCAATGATTTATAGAGGCCAAGATTATGGTGTAAAGCATGTTTAGAAAAGGGAAAAAAAAGTGCCCACCAGAACCTACTGGAACACCCCATGTATATGCCCACAAAAGGAGAAGAGATTATTTCCTGGAAGCCTGCTGCTGCTTATACAAAGGACAAAGACATTTCTATGCAGAGTCTTGTTCTCTTATTACAGTGGCTGCAGGCATGTCTTAGGCACAAAGAACAAAGGTGTTTCTATGTTGGATCTTGTTTCTTTATCTGAGTGGGCCAGAGGTTTGTACAAGTTTTCTTATCTGTGCCTGCAGCCTGATATTTCAGGCTGTTTCTCTGATTTCAGGAGTTTTACCAAGAACCCACCCTAACTGCCTACCGTTTCTCTCTTATTCTCCCCATCATGAGTGGAGACCCTAACTGCTGTTAGGGAGAATAGGCGCTGATTTTTTTAGCTACTTTTTGCTGGAGAGGGGTGTTGTGTGGGGAACAGCAACTAGAGTTTCTTTTGTGGCTGGCTTAAGGGTCCTTGGAAGAAAGGCATGTTTATGCATGGTTCCTTTTGCATTGCCATTTGTAGCTTGATAGCCTTTAGATGAGAAGAAACAATGTGGTTTATTAGAGTACATGTATTACAATGAAACAAGGGTGGAGGTAAAGACGGCTTAAAAATTCCAAGGCTAAGTGATGGCTAGTTATGACTGTTAAGATTTGGATTCAAGGGGCTGGGCTTCGGTTAGCTTTCTTGGTTTTACTTTTTAAACAAAGAAACTTGTGACTTATAGGCACTTTATTTACTTTTATTACCTGGCAGGACTTGTGGGATAATTCTCCAGAACTAGAATATTGTTTTTGATTTCTACATTACCCATTCCCTTTTGTTTCCTTTGAGCAGTAGCTGGAGATTGCTGGTCGATTTACAGGAATAGGGTTAGTTTAAAATGTAGGTAGGCAAAAACTTGAAAACAACTACTGAGACTAGAAATTAATGACAGCTGTATAAGTTTTGAAACAATTTTTTTCTCCAGTCCTCATTTTTGTTAAAAACAAATTATGATAAGACTGTGTTGTTTGTAAAATTGACTTCAGTCTCATACTTGGACTGATTATTTCATAAACTGCAGCAAGAATAATTACCTTTACATAGACCTTTTAGATGGGCTTTGATGGAACTTTGTTTTACAAGGAATCTTAGATAGGACTTTTTAAAGCTGAGCCCAGCCATGGGTTTGCACCCTTAAATGCCTATGAGTTGGGTAAACTCCTTTTTTCCTGAGATTTCAAGAGCATGGTGTTCTGGGCCTGTTAGAAAGTGACTTTTTTACTCACCACAGATTAGGAACCCTGTACAGGGACTGTGTAGACAAAATATGAGGCCAATTTTTCCAAGGGGCTTTTATTGGCTTTTCAAGTTAAGCTGGACTTCTTACAGGGAAACACATTCTTTTAGTTAAACCCTTGGCAAAACACCAGTTTTTAAATTGTTCTGTTGCAAAAGAAAATGCATTCTTATTGCACTGATGCAAACAATATATTGTTAGAAGTTAAGAATGCTTACAACTAGTGTCTGAATTTTAGAGGAACCAGGCAGAGAGAAACAAACATGTTTTACATTTTGTTTACAGAAGTATACCTTACTTAATTGTTAAAGGCTGTATCTAGTTTAAAATAAGTTTTATTGACTGAAAAACAAAACAAGGATTAGCAATATCTTGAGCAAAAGTTAAAAAGATTATTTTAGCTTTTTATTAGTTCAGTCCATTCAGTTAACTCTTGTTCTGCTTGATATTTATAAACATTTCAGCTTTTTATTAATCCTGTATGCTTTTCCATTATTAGAAACCTGCATTTCAGAGCACCTGTTAAAGTTTTACAGCTGAGTATAAACCTTTTATGAAGAGGATTAAAGCAGACAATTGTCTTAAATGACAAAATGATCAGGGTGTTTA